TTACTGAGTCGGACCAGTAGATGGCAGCTCAAAACCATGAAGTCAGACAAAACTTTGGCAGGACAGTCATGGGTTCAGGAACTCATTAAGTCAGTAGTCAGTAAAATATAAAGGGTCCAAATGGATATAAGTTGTATATTAATAAGGACAATACAGTTGTACACCCTCTTTAGCCTTTTTTGTCACACGGTTTTATAGGTTTTTCTCGTCATCAACACGGATGTCGTATCTGTGTTTAGGCACAATCTCCACTTGAAAAACTTTACAAATTGAAGTCAGCTAAAGAGTTTACAGTCCAGGTTACTTCACCAAGCTCTTTCTAGCATCTGTGTGTGAGAGGCAACGATTGTAGACTATTGTATGACAGAGATATGGGATCATTTCTCTGTCAGGACAGACTCATAAAATGTTTTATTCAGGCTAATCTCCTATCATAATCGGTGCTGTGCCGTCCGCCAAATTATGACAAACGGGTTTTTAAAATAGTGATAGTGAATACACTTAACTGGACGCCTTGGTTCCTGTGCGTAATAGTGCGTAAAAGCGCCTCTCCAAAAGCGTCACTGTGAATCAAGCGAGCACGCGCCAAAGTTGTTTGTGCTTCGTTTCAGAAACATCAGTGAGCCAGACAGCAACGATCATCTCTGACTGTTTAAGACCCCAACTTGGACGACTACTTTTCCTAGAAACTGACCTCGGTGGTGCTTAATACGACCCTAGGTTTGCTATGTAGTCCAACAGAATAATACACTTACATTAAAATATTTTGTAATATTAAGTCTGCATAGCGGTAAATGGTAAAGGTGTTGTTTTAATTAGCGTTCTGTGTTTTTATCCAGAATACGTGGTTCACTAAATCCAGTCTTACTTTTTTCAAAACTGAGATTAAAATAAAAATCACACGGCACGCTCTGCAAATTAAAAGGTTTATTATTTCTGACAGTTGCAAATTCTGTTTTTTACAGACCGCAGCGGGCGCTGACGGGGAAAGGGGTGTAAAAACAGGTTCAGTTAAAAAAACTGTTAAACTATTAAAAAATAGCAAAAGCTAACTCAAGTTCTTGGAATGAGTTTCAAAAGTTTAGTCCACAGAGTTAAACGCCGCCAGCATGCAGTTGGTCCGCTTCTGGTGTTCAGTGGAAGGGTGTTCACTTGGCAGCAGCCCTGGTCCTGGTAGATTTAGCCTTGGTCCTGCGTTTAGCCTTCTTGGGACTCTTTGGCTTCCTGGGCTTCTTGGCTGCAGCGGGGCTCTTGGCTTTCTTAGGACTCTTTGCCTTCCTCTTTTTCTTAGGTGACTTCTTGGCCGCTGGAGTGGCGTCTCCGGCTGCCTTCTTGGCTCTGGCCCTCTTGACTTTTTTCGCCTTTGGCTTCTTCTTTTTCACCACCTTCCTCTTTCGAGGTGTGGGGGGCTTCTTGTTCAACTTAAAGGAACCCGAGGCCCCAGTGCCTTTGGTTTGGATGAGGGATTTGTTGGCCACCAAGCGCCTGATGGCGATGCGGATTCTGGCTTTGTTCTTCACCACGTCGTAACCTCCGGCCTTCAGAGCCTTCTTGACAGCTGCCAGGGACACGCCGCCGCGCTCCTTGGACGCGGACAGGACCTTCAGTATCCGTTCTGACACTGTGGGACCCGTCTTCTTCCTCGGAGACTTGGCTCTCCTTTTGGGAGTTTTGGCCGGCTCCGGTGCGGGCAAAGCAATCACAGGGGAAGACATTTTAATAGCGTTAATGCCAGGAACGAGTAAGTGAGGGTCACAGAGAGGAGAGAGGAAAGATGTATACAGTGTTTGCCCTCTTGTCAGGTCCAGGCTTTATAAAGCCCCTATGAGAACCTTGTAGAGTGAGCCCCGCCACCACAGTGCGCCTCTTCTCTCCCTCTCAAACATATGACAGTTTGTGTTTTCTCCAACTGGATTATTGTGTAAAAATCCTGCGTAAAATGTTGGATATCCACTTCAAAACCCCATCATAATAATCAGCGTAATCTCAGCTGTCTATAACTATATTTTTATGTAGGGATTTTATCAAATACATTAAAGTCTGTTGTGTTATTACACACTGGTAGTTGTGAAGCTGAAATCGGGACCTGTAATTTCAACATTTTAACAATGTTATATCCTGTAAACAAACAAGTACATTATTTAATGCTTAAATAAGATTAAATACCTATGTGGCTAATATGCTGGCCCTAAATTGTGGCTTTATTTAGGCCAGTTTTACAAATTAAATTCATTTAAACATGACCAAAGAAGCACAGTTGCCTTCCAAACCCACCATAGGGTGACCTCAACACACATATATATTCCTGAAACACAAAAGCAAGAAAGGTTTTAATGAAAGCATGAGGTGAGAACAAATTAAATAACAAAAAAAAAATAAGTTTTATGCCATCATATTTTGTGGAGGTTATTTTGTATTATTGCAGGCTACTCCAAGTCTCCTCTATGTGGAGGGAGATGGACCTTAGCCAGAATAGGAGTTATCAGCCTGTGAGGGGTGGCAGCCAGAAAAACGAATTTAAGATCGCTTTCCTGGGTCTTTTTTAAACTATTTGACTTTAAATGGTATGTATTCCTATTACATGTATGTACTGTATATTTAAAGCCACTTACTTTCTTACAAGTGAGTCTTTGGTTTGACAACCACTTTGTTTTTTGTCTCCTTTTGGCAACACAAACACAACAAGGTGCAGACCAGTGTGGACTTCGAAGTCAGTATATTAACACCCAAAACACGTCACACTCACACAGCTCTACTCCAATACATCAGACTTTAAACACCAAACCTTTTGGGCCATCGGGCTTTCACCAGCTCAGGATACCACCAAAGGCCTTTGGTGATTCAAGTGTGATGTTGAGAAGAAGAGTTGTGTGACGTGTTTTGGATGTTAATATAGCGACACATCATATGGGGCATAATGCCATTAGAAATTAAATGTGCAAAGGAAGAAAGTAATAATATCATACTGCACTAATCATTCCGTCAGTCTGCTGTGCCTTTGGTAATGAACTGCACAAAATACTCTAATATACAGTACAGTAGGTTAGTACCATACAGCACAGACTATTTGAATATAAAGTCTAGTCAGATGAATCATCTGAATTTATTGATTCTTACATTAATATCTTTATGTGTTTAGAAATATTTTGGATGAGAATTAGAAAACCTTTCCGGATTGTTTGTTTTCCACTTCATAGTAAACATACCAACTCATTAAAATGTGATTCTGCATCACTTTTTCTTTTAAAGTCGAAAGTATCAGAGGACACATGCTCTTTATTAATATGAGATAGTGTGTGTGTGTGCAGAAGATTGGCAAATGTTGTCCCGCCTTCTGTGGTGCACTGATAGCGCCTTCTCCTGTTGCACGCACACACAACACAACACAACAAGTTAGTGAAAGTAAAGAAGTGCATCTGAAAATGTTTTAGATGACATATGTGTTAGGCCTAAAAGTATTAAAATAAAGTATAAAAAGCCTTAAATCCACTCTAACACTTGACTGGAGTGGATAACAAAGGATGAAGCAAATAGATGAGATGAAGCTTCTACCAACAATAGGAGAAACACCTTTACAGACACATGCCATTTCTCTTCTTTAACACTGTAATGTGTGAAGCTTGGGTTTGATTTAGATTTTCTAGCTGTCTAGATTATATTTACAGCAGCAGCCCCTTAATGAGAAATTTAAGGAATTTCCATCCATCAATCCATCTTCATCCGAGACCGGGTCACGGGGGCAGTAGTCCGAGCAGAGCACCCCAGACTTCCCTCTCCCCACACACCTCCTCTAGAAACTTAAGGAACTTGGCACATGTAACCCAGGTAGCCAAAATAGTGCGGCCCGATGATGGCCCAGATCCGGCAAACCGGATGAACTAACTCGGCCCAGATACGGTTGCCAGACTCGGGCTGCATCTGGCATGACTGACGCCCCAGTATCGGCCCAAGTACACTGGCCCAAATCCGGGTGCCGAAGCTGAACCGATACTGCCGGAATAGGGCCGCAATCGCCCCACAAACATTTGTAGATTTGGCCTATATCGGCCCAGAGGTGGATACCGAAACTCAACCGATTACCAGGCTGTGACTTCTAGATCTGGTTCATCTGTAAGGCAGCTGATAGCTTGTAGTAATGATTGGGCAATGATGGTATTCCAAACCTGTGATGTCATAAATCCTGCTCATAGACGTGCATCTTAAAGTCATGGAGAGAAAAACCCTTTGCTTTAAGCAGATGAATATGAAAAAAGCCTTCTTGTGTTAGTCTCTGAACCTATACCATTTTGCAAACTACATTTGATTAATGTTGGCTTTAGGAATTTCCCAGGATGAAATAAAAATTTCACTTGAAAATATTAAATAACTAATAAATATTAAATAAAATATGTTAACCTTACAAGAACTAGGTGTTTAGCACTGCTCGCTGATGGTTTGGCAGCCCGTTCCTACCCTTGCTTTACCCCACACCTATCCTCAAAACTAGATGTTAGTTTTTCAAATTAATAATTACATGACTCAAATACATTAAAACTTTATTCTAAATGTGCAGCAGTATTTTACATTGATGATAAAAAAAAAGATCAAAAACAGAACAGATCAATAAACAGATCCAAAAAAAGAACAACTCTCACTGCCCAAAACATCCTTGTGGACCAGTGGACCTTTAGTGTACCCTACTAAGAATTTGCTTGTTTCATGGCCCGTTCCCTTCTTCCTCCATCCCTGTCCGATGCCAGCTGCAACCACCTTTTTATGTACTTTTCAATTTCTCCATCTGGTGCGCTTGCAGTTGCAGAATTTTGCCGCACTGATTCTGCAATATTAAGAAGGAAGAAAAAGAAAAAAACACTGTCACTTGATGTACAGTAGAGTCTTGGGACTATCTGTTTTAGGGTTCAGTTTTGTATCAAGATGTTGAAACATGGACATAATACTGCCAGTTACCTCAATAGTTTGAATAATTTTAACAGGTTTTGAAAAAAGGTGTGTGCTTCAATTAAGGAGTTCAATGAAAATGACTTTTCATGTAAGAATGTGGTCATTATTTCAGAATACTCACATTTAGATTTAAATGTACACTTTACATGAGTAACTGAATATGCAAACATGTGTCCACACCTGAATCGATAGAGCTGATAGAAATCATTAACCATCAAGTTAAAAATAAATGGTCCTAATTTCTAAGGGAGACACAAAAATGGACTCAAATATACTGTAGATATTACACATTACCAAACCCATAATCATAATTGTTCCTAATACTGTATAGCAGATGTCGAAGTGTGACATTTTGATTACTTGATTGGGTAATATTAGGAAATTAAGATATTAGGAAATTTTTACATTATCGGCAGGAGTTATTAAACCTTTAATGGCTTTATTACATTAAAAACACAAAATAATTACATCATTGGCTGCTGCAAACCCTATAATACAAAAAACTTACTGAGGACAACATCTTTTAGGACAAGCTGCTCAAAACCATATTTCCCATGTACTCCACGCCAGTTGATTTGCTTGGCCAGCTGGTTCGTCATCAGTTTAGCCATTATTCGCCAAACTGTTTCCTTTATTGTTAAGCCCCCTGCCAGACCAAAGTAGGTGACCTGAAAAACACAATAAAGAATCACATTTAATTCCTTCAATTATTCTGTATTAAAACACTGGCTTATGTCACTATATGAGACAGAAGACAGTTGATGACATTTAGTGATGGCATATTTCCATGGAGAGTGACAGAAGAGGTATGATTTGTTCTTATAGATACTGTGTAGTGTCAAAAATTGTATTTCTGTCCAATATCAACACCTACCAGTTTTTGTTTGTGTTCCTCCTGTGCAGCAACGAACTGCTCAAGGTTCAGGAGTTCTTCCAGTGTTTTCAGAGGAATTCCAGTAACCTCTGGCACCTCTATAGGCTTTCGAAGATTATTTTGCAACTGTAGCAAAATAATCTGCTGTTGCTGCTTAATGGTCTCCATTGTTGTTAATATCTCCCGTAGAATTGCTGTAAAATACCAACAAAACACAGTGAGTGCCAGTAACAAATTGTGAGGTTATTTATCCAATTGGCCTTGAGGCATTTCACTTAAAACTACAATGGTCAAACTGATATACATCATATTAGGGGAAGAATCAGTTTGCACCATGGATATCTGAACAGATTGTTACAATCCAACAGCTAACTGACCATCCATACAGCTATACGTCAGTACAACCAAAACGGGACCAATAACTACTGCAAAAGACTTACGCTCACACATCAGTTGGTCGTTTACCCTGGGCACACGAGGGGTTGCTGCATTTTGGAAACTTGAAGGAGAAAGTTCTGGTCTGGAGGGAGTTGGAGGCAAAATTGCTGGCGTGATGACAGCCGGAGGAACAATGGTTGGAGCAGCTGGTAAGGCCAATTGAGCCCTGGTGTGGTTTCCTCTGGGCTGTTCACTACTGGTGACAGCTGGAGGACCAATGGTTGGAGCAGTTGGTAAGGCCAATGGAGCTCTGGTGCGTTTCCCTCGGGTTGCCTCATTGCTGCCGTCATTGTCATCTTGGTCACTCTCTGACTCAAAGATTCTGTTCATGCCTCTAATGTACAAAACAAACTGATTATATTTCAGAATATAACAAAAACACAAAAAAAAACATGAACCTTGTGCAGTAAATTGATTACATTGGTAAACTAAATTCAAGTCGTTTTCCCCTCAAAAGTCACTGATGTTTCCACTAGACTACAGTAAATACACTGTGGAACAACCCATGTACAAATTATTTCAAATCAATTTTCCAAAACCACCTGTTGCTACCACATTTTTGACCATCTTACCTTCTCTTCCGCCTCTTGTATGCTGGACGTTGATCCTCTTCATCTTCGGTTTGAAGATCTGACGTAAGCAGGGCCTTTGGGAGCAGAAGTCGCGCCTCACTAAATGTATCTTAAAAAGAGTTCTCAATTAATTTTCACATTTCTGTTCATTAAAAGTTACTAGTGTAGTTTGTTGGTGTGGCATTAAACAGATAATGAAATTATACCAAGGGATTAAGCGGTAGAAAATGAATGAATGAATGAAATTATACCTTTAGTTGCCCTTATGCGGATGTTATACTTTTCCCAGAATTCCTTGGGAGGGTCTGCTCTCGCTATGGCCCGGTTGCATTGCTCCCTTGCTTTATAGGGAGGCCAGAAGCTTCTTCCATTATGAACCCATGAGGCTGGAACAACTTCTGTGTCTCCCGTGTCCACAAAATCAACAATGTGGTACATCATCTTTGAAAGGAATAATATGAATTGCATGCAAAATCATTTAAAACATTAAGCCATAAAATTCAATTAAAAAAAAACACAAATACATATATACGTTACACATATACATACATTTAGGACTGCTGCAACAGATTATTTTTGAAAATACACTCCAACATTCTATTGCCCTGATAAACTGAGGTTATGTTATATACAGAAAAGAAAAATACAAATGTGCAAACAAAAAAAACATAAGGAAGTATGTAAAAAATCTGAATAGACACACTAAATCTTAGTACATTTTCAAAAGGTATATAGGTATAAGAAATGATTCTCAGCCCCAGTAAACAGTTGCTCACCTTGCAACACAACCCCAGTTCATTTGTTATGACAAATGGAGAAATGGCATGCCCACAAATTTGTTCCTGAATGGGAGGAGTACATACTTTGTCACTGCATCATTCATCTTGATACACTTTAGTTCCTGGGACAAGTCAGTGAGTTGGAACACACCCAACTGACCTGAATTTATTGGGTAGTCAAAAAAGCTTGCACAACTTGTAAACTCATTATAAACCAAATATGGATCTCCGCCAAACTCAATGATATTTTGGACTACACCTACTACGCCATCATGACATATGCAGTTGTCACCTGTGAATACCTTGACACAAAAGTGTGGAAGACTAACTTCTTTGTACTGCATTACTGGCCATGTGATGTGCAATGGCAGTGGACCATCACAATGTGGTTTTCTGAGTTTGGTTTCATTTTGTGTGTCTGATCTACAAACTACATTTTCAAGCTCTGATATTCGTCTCACAACTTGTGCAACTGGATACTGGGGGCTGCGGATCATTTTCTTTATTTCACCAAGGTAGTTTTCATATGGAAACCCCGAGATGTTGTCCAACCACTGGCCATGCTTTTTTACATCATCACTGAGATGTATAAGGCCATGCACATTGTACACTAAATTGTCCTTGCCATAAAGCTGTCCAAAGTGTTCCACAAAAGACACAAGCAAGGTCTTTGCAAAGTCACAAAATATCACACAGAGCTTTGGACATGCCAGTATTGATATTGCAACATAAAGCAACATAAAGTTGTTGTAAACTGGTGAGCTAAGAATGTCAAATAGCGCAACTGGCCCAGTATACAACAAAAACTGTCTATATTCAGTTGCCTTCCATCTGTGTCTCTCTTCAACAGATCTGGGCTTCCTGGCAAATTCAGTGGGCATGTGACTTTTGAAAGACCTCAGTGTTTCTGACAGCTGATTTACTTTCTTGAAAGGCAAACGGCACCTAAGTGGACCAGTACTGCCTGCCCATAGTTCTAGGAGCTTCCTTGTGACCCCAAGGCAAACAAGATGCATATAATCATGGGGAAACATAGAAACCATTCCAATGCCAGTCTCAATAAGTGGGGAAATGTCTCTGTGATGTTCCTCATCCACCTGAAGTCTGAAACTTTCATCTGTTCTGGCAGGGCTTCGGCTGTCAGGAAAAGTCATCCGGCTACCTAGACGAAGCCCATATGATGTACATTTATCACAGCCTGCATACCCAGTATGAGATTTTATGGCTTTAATGTAAGCTCGGGCAGGAGCATCACATATTATTGATGTTACTTTTATGAACAATATTTTCCCTTTAAATGTAAAGCCAGATGCTAAGATTTTTAGCTCTGCCACAAGATCTTTTAAGTAATCTCCCACAGGATGTGGCTTTGATTTGCCACCAAACAAGGCAATCAAACAAGGCTTTTGTTTTACAGAAAATCCCTGCACTAACCCCAGAACTGGCCATAACTGGAAACCTGAACTCTTGAACAATGGAAGCCCATCAAAATTTAGTTGTAGACTGACTGTGTGACGATCAGGAATTTTTACCCAAATATTGTTCAGGAAACGAGTGAGAGAACTGACAATCCCAAAGTAATAGTATGCACCTCCTGCAACTTGGTTGATTATGTAATTTCTGTTAGTATGGAGGAGTGTCTTGGCATCTTTAGGTAAAGATGGATGGTGACATCTCAACACTGACAACAGGGCAGTCAGGGCAACCAAACTGATACTATACTCTGTGGCCCAGTTCATCAAGCTAGTAGTGAGAGTTGGCTGTAGAATGTCATCATCACTATCAAGTTCATCATCATGTACTGTCTCAGCATAAGCCTCTTCTGTGCATTCACTTTCCATAAAAGTCTCTATATCATGACCACTGTGATCACCACTTTGCACTTTTTGATAACCACATCCTGCAGCTTCATCATCACAATATGAAATTTCAGCACAAGGAACTTCCACATCAAGAAGCTGATTGCTTTTGTCAGCAACGTCATCTTCAGAGGTTTGACTATTTGTGGAAAGTGATGCAAGACGTGTCTTTACTGTGACCCTGGACCTTCTCCGCAGATTTGATGATTTATTGTATTCAGAGTAGAGCTCCATCGTCAGGGCAAATGATTTGAGGTGGTGGAGTAGAATCTCAGGGCTCCGAATCTCAAGGACCCGAAAAAAAAAAAATAATAATTTAGATGAAAAATATTGTAAAGGAGACAAAACGTCTATCAATTTTTTTTAAAACAAATAACTACAATCATATAAATAGTGATGGGTACCTCGCGGAGTAATACGTACTGTGCTTCAACATAATATTAATGCGCCTCGGTTTACACGAGGCCATGGCGGAGCTACAACTTAACCCGCGCTCGCGCACACAAGCACTCAAGACTACCGGCCCCCCTCCCCACAATGCTGAGCATTATGAAGGATTGTGATGTTTTGAAACATAAAGGGGTCTTTATGTATGATCTTCTTTACTGTTGCATGTCATTTGAATGTGCTGGATTAAATTACTATAGGTTTCAGTCTATCTACTGGTCCCACTGTGATACAAACGAGGGATTCACTCCAGCAGATAAAAGACCCCCAACCCCTGTTGCAGTATTGTTAAAGATTGGTTTGTAGGAGCTGAAGTCCACTGGGATTCATTTCCACGGGCATCGCAGTTGCTGGGGAGCATGAGAGGGGGTTGCACGGTATTAAAAATGTTTATCCAAAAAGTGTGTAACCCAGAACCGAACAACTAAACAGCCCCGTCGTTCCTCTCCTTTCTCTGTGGGCCGATGTGATGTGATGTGACGCAGACCCCAGCAGGAGGCGGAGAGCTGGGCGCCTCTTGGCCCTGCGCTCTTTGCGCTCCGCCCCAAAGCATGTGACCGTATTACAGCGTGATTACAGTCACGGCAGTCGACAGCTTTAGAAGTCTTGTGACGAACCAGCATCTCTGTGAGATAAAAACGTGGCCCGCGGTGCCTCTTTAATCCTCCCTCAGTCTCCTCGGCCCCGACAGACAACATGGACTGCGGAATTTTCACGTCCAAGACCATCCTGCTCTTCCTCAGCTTGGTATTTTGGGTAAGTCGCGGTGTTATTTCTCTACTTGGGGAGCTTTATATTAACCATTTTCTCGTCCAGGGCAAGGAGAAATGAAACGTGCTCGGTGGCATGCAGGATATCCGTGTTTTTGAGAATAAGCGCTACTTGCTGTTGTTTTTCCGTCTGTGAGCCCCGAGTGGTTTAAGGTTTACATAATACCAATCAGCTTGGTTACTTGTTTACATAATACCAATCAGCTTGGTTACTTGTTAAACATGCTGGTTTTCTGCCCAGTTTTCTTTTGCACTTCCTCATTTTTACAATGCCCTATAGTTTTCAATCTGCATAGTTCATTTATTTAAAAAACAGTGTTTCATAAGTGACTACTATTTCATAATAACGAGAACTTACTCTAAGTCCATCGAGTTCAAGGGAACACTGACGGGGATTTTTTTTGTAATGTTGTCAGCCAGCCAGAATTCTGACTCAGTCTGAGTTTGACCACAGTTCATATGTACTTTAGCTGTGTCAAAGGACACTTTGGAATTGTATTTTATTAGCTCTTATCGCTTTATTCACTATCTCTTTCCACAGTTGGTTTCACTGGCAAACAGTTGTCAGCTCTCCCCTTTTAGGTAAATATGTTCTGAAGGGACCAAGTAAACTTCTCTGCCTGTCTGTGACCTGGTTTATGTGTTGTTTTCAAGGGGAAACACAGGCATGGTCTGTGTTTTTGATTTAAATATCACATCTGCTTTCTACTTCCTTATTCTCTGACTTCTTCTAATTTAACATGGTTTCCTTCTCCTTGCACCTCTGACACAGTTTTCTCATCTGTAATAGGTACATGAGGTGAATAATGAATGAATTCCACTGTTTAGTTGCTGTGTAGCATTCCTTTGTCCTTCACCATATTGTTTTCTCCCCAGCTAGGCATCATACTGAACCCCACATATCCTACCATATGACAAATTCCTGTCAAATACATTGCAGCTTGGTCTTCTAAGCCCGTTTACTGTTCATGAAGAGTGTGAGGCTAACTTTGTTTAGCTAGCAGTTTAGTTTGATTCATAAGGCCACCAGTCCTCAATAAATGTGTGAGCTAAATTATGAGAAACTGGCTGTTTTGACCAAGGGTGACTTAGCCATAGGAGAGGCATTGTTTAAAAAAAAAAAAAAAAAATCACAGTTCAACCAAAACGTCAAATTTACATTTTACACCTGCGTCTGACCCACTGGCATCTCTGTCTTTAGAAAATTATACTACACAACTTTTTGAAGATGTCAAAAGATGGGTTATGTTTTATTTACTGAAAATGTGTATTTAAAAAAAAAATTATTTAACATCTGGTCTAAGATACAGACTAGTATTATAACGTGGCAGGGACCCAAGAAAAGCCCCCTTTTAGATCAGGAAATATGACATTCCAGGGATGTGGCGCCGTGATTGGACACTGTATGTCATCTATGCCTCCTTGTGTTGATTCATAGGCACAAGATCAGAGTTTCTAGGAAGACTGAGGGCAAGTAAGGGGGGGGGGGCGGCGAAAAACTGTTTCACCGAGAGATCCTGTGACTATGGAGTGAGTAAAAGAAGTGAGTCACGAGGCTGAACTGAAGTATGGATGATGATTGGGTCACACAAAACAAGTACACTCAATTCCACAATGTAAAACTCATTACAGTGGAACTAATACTGAAAATGACACTAA